TAACTTTAAGAAAAATATTATTTAACCTATTTATTGTTATCATTTATTATTGCTATTTGTAATATTATTTGTACCTTATTTAACACGTATTTAGTGTGTTAAATAATCGTCTGCGCGATTTGTAAAAAAATAGAGAAAAAATATATGAATTTCAAAGTAAAAGATATATTTTTTAATAAATCTTTACTTTCTACTTTCTTTTAATATTCTTTATATAATTATAGTTTGAAAGGTTTGAAAGGATTTCGTTTTTTAATTAAAAATTACAACTAGAAAAATCCTCTTGATGAAAGGATGAGCTGAGCAATGTGCAAAACGTAAATAAAAATTTGTCTTTCGAACCTCTGCATCGGTCTCTCGAGCTCCGAATTAATTCTGAATCTTTGATAAAGACACGATTGAAGCAGAGGGGTGTCATCGCGGATGAGTTGTCGCAATTTTCGCAATTTTCGCGAACGCACGATGTGCATTCGTTCGCGCAAACATACGCCCTCCATCCGTCCGTTTGCCGTAAAATTTTCGTCGCACGAACGTTTTTACGAATTGGTAAACCAACGGCGATCGGTGATTCGTGGGCGATTTATCGGTTCGGTTCGACGAGCAGAACACGAGAGAGAACGAGATAGAGGCGCGACAACACAGGGTGCTCGTAAATTTGCAATAATTTCGACGAGAATGCACATCGACGCTCGCCCAACAAATAGCTGCAGACATTCCGAAATTATCCTTGCTCTAAAATTCTATCTTGGGATATGGCGAATAGAACTTACTCCTCTCCGTGAAAATTCATTTTTGCGTCGAATCAGATCCTTAAATCCGAAAACTCGGACATTAGTAATAACTTCGCGAGGAGAAGCAACGAAGCAAATTGATACTTGAAAGATAAAAAAGTAAAAAGATACTAAAAGTTGTCGGGTCTCTTTTTTTCTAAAAGAAAAAGTTTTCTTTTTCTCTATTTTTTAAATATACTTTTTATATTATAAATTATTTCAAGAGAGGGAGAGAGAGAGAGAGACGCACGTAAGAAAATATCTCCGAAACGTCTCTAACTCTCGAAACAGCTATATCTCTTTTCGTTCTCTTTATATAAAATATTGTCCAATTAAAAGTTTCTTCCCGGGATTTACGGCGGGAGAAGAAAATTCCCGCTCGAATCATATCAAGCGTTGCCTTCGATTTCCTCGCGCGATTCGCCAGCCCGTTTATCCGAGACGTGCGGAGCCTCCTCGCATCTACCTCGTCGCGTCTATCGTCGTTTCCTCGTGCGGCACCGGACCGATAAATAATTCGCGAAATTCCGCCTGGAATTCTCCAGAGTCGCGTTACGGCATCTTGCCCCTCTAAGGAAAAATTTTCATCCCCTCTGGCAGCGCGCGCGACTATCCGAGGGAGAAAATCGTCCCGTAAGAGCGCGTCTCGATACTCCTTTTTTGTGAGGACCTTCGTCCTGCCTCTTAAAAGTTTAAAGAGGACAGTCAACATTCTTGCTCTCACGCCCGTCTCTTCGCTTAAAAATGCAACAATGTCACGCTGCTGGAACCGAGACAAACGATCCGCGAAATTGTCCGAAGAACATGCAAAAGGAAGACAGAGAGAGAAAGAGAGAGAGAGAGAAAGAGAGGGAGAGAGGCAAAGAGATTCACAGGAATTATACTTTCCACCCGAAACAACGTGTATCATTATCCTTTGTGTTTCTCCTTATGTCAAAGTAGATTACATTAAGCTTTAAATGGCTGACTGAGATCTCTCTGAATCCTTCAGTGCATCAAATAGTATTATTCTTGAGATAATTTCAGAAGGAAATTATGTCATTTTCTTCTGTAAATGCGATATCATAAAACAAATTCGGACATTTACGTATTAATAGCTGTCAGTTTTTGAGTTTAAATAATATTACGCAGAACGTGTATCTCACCATCAATTTTTCCCCTTTTTCGCTTCGTTTGTATTTATTTTATTTCGATTGGTTTGGTGTGCTTAAAACATGTATCGTGTCAAAATTAATCGTATCATAATGAAATCAATTCGAGCAATCTTTTAATCTCGTATGTTTAAATTTAATTCAATTCTGACAGAAACAAAAAATATATTCGCTTTAGTCTCGATAATTTTCAAATATTTGCATATTATATTATTCACATTATTTATCCATGAAACAAGTTGACGGAGGAGAAAGGATATTACCGCTTATATATAAATCTACCTGGTGGATTGGCTCGGATTGGCGAGGATAGTGCCATTAGAATCTTCGTTGTATTCAGTTTTGTTCCGCGGATTAACCAGCGACTGCTACTTGTCTCAGCAACGCAGTTTTCTCGGAGCAGAAACGTGCAGTTTAGATATCGCACAACATCCTCGTAGGATGCGAGGATGTCGCGTCATGAACGAACCGAAGAAATACTCGTAGAATTTCGTCTCGAGAAAGAGAAAGAGAGAGAGAGAGAGAGAGAGAGAGAGAGAGAGAGAGAAAGAGCGAAGGAAAATGATGGAAAACGTAATCTCGCTTAAGAAGCTTAACTCGGGCGATTCTCGAATGACCAAAGATAAAGGTGAATCTGCGCAGCGTATTTTTCAACGATGATCTCCGCACAAAAAAAGGTATATCGTATGAACAATACTTTCTTGCAAAAGGAGATGGGAATTGAATGACAAAAAAAGCAGAGCTTTTTTGCGTTGTCACTTCCCTTTTGTCCGTTGTCATGCATAAAACTAATGTCTGGTCAAAGTAAGGGAAATGATTTATATCAGTGTTTTAGTGCAAATCATCGCATTGATTATCATTCGCATTGTATTGCAAATTGATGGAAAAAAAACTAAATATCGACGTGAATCTATTTGTGTGATATTTTGTAGGAATACAAGATTTTCTCGAAGAATTCTCCGCGAAAATTTATAGTAAGAAAATTCAAGACACGTTTTCCTCCATAGCTTCCTCAAAGATTAATCCGAAAGTAGATCGTTGCGTGTCTTCGAAACTGATTAATTACGTTGTTGCAACAACACTTCGCTTTGATCGTTGTAATTATTTGGTGGTTGAGGATCATTCCGCGCTAACTTCGGCAATTCGTTTCTTCGCGTGCGACACCTCCAGAGACTCACGGGTAATGCAAGAGAAATACCTAGCTTGTCTTAATCCGAAATGATTTTCCTTTAGTGTATGCAAATAGTGCATATTTATATATCCCTGATTAAATTCGAGAAAGACTGAACGCACGAGAAAATCTATTCTATAAAATTCACACAGACAATCGCGAATGTGTATCCTCAGGATTTTGACGCGTATAAATTTGTTGTAAATTCTGAAAATTTAATCCAAGAGCGAATGTCATCCAAGTAATATATATTTTTGATTAAATCGATAAAGATTAAGACATTAAAAACCCATGAAATTTATAAATAATTGCACATCTCTCTCTCTCTCTCTCTCTTTCTCTACAGCTTTTGATGCGCAATCTAATCTTTTTTGATAATTTATTTCTTTATCTCTTTATATTTTAATATTAATTTAATTTTGGCCAAATTATAAAGATTAACATTAATGTTTTCATATTAAAATAACTTTTTTTTGTTTTTAACAAATTGATTGCTCCAATTACGTTCTGTCTACGTGCGATCGTTTCAGCGTTGCGCAATGATTCACGTAATCTATTTCAGCTAATGCCGCGTGCATCGAATAGTACTGTAGGCGGATGAGTCCGATGTGCAATGTTAATGCGGGACGGACTAGGCGTACTAATTAGGGGATATTTCATTGAGGCAAGCGTAAATAGTCGGTAAAATCGGTCGTCCCTGAAATTCTATCCCGTGGCTGTTTGCAGTTAAATGTGCATATATATGCTCATTTACCTGGTCGCTTCTTTTTATATTTTTAAAATTAATATGGACGCTAATATTTGAAATTTCGAATAACTAGTGATACAAAGAGAGTCCGCTGTCTTATAAATAATATTATCTGACGTTATACGTCATTCAGCGGAATAATTAAACATTTACATAATAAAAATTACATTTCTGTTTATAACGAGCAAAAAGAAAAATAAAAAAGTTAATTTAAGGTAATTTAATATAATATAATTAATTAATAATTTCGTAATTTCAAAAAATTAATAAACATAGTATTTCGTCTATTTTTTAAGGTAAAAATAAAAATTTCTCGCATAAATGCGAGATATATTCTCAATATTCCTTGCTTGCCTTATAATATAATTTAAAGTCTAATTTATTTTAATAGTATTTTAATATTTATATTAATGTTGTATTTGCGCGCAAACAATTTCAACGCGTAAAATTATTATTTATTGTGTATTTCATCAATGGGAGAACCTTTGGTGGAGAATATAACAATATTATGCGATGAGATATATGCGCAATGAGGTATATTGCGCAATTTAGGATAGGTTAAAGGGCTATGTTGAGGGCTATGATACTCGACCTATACCCTGCAGATCAATTGTAACTAATCCAGATCCAACACACACACACACACACACACACACACACACACACACACACACACACACACAATGTTCCATAATATTCGACTATAATTCCTTGTGTGTTCTAGAATTTATACATATTTATATATTTATACATATATCTTTCCTTTTTAAAAAATTAGCCACATTTGGATTAATTAATTATATCAATAATTAAAAACATTAGAAAGAATCATATCAGGGAATTTTAAAGTTGTATAAAAATATTTCAAAGGTAGATAATTGACAAATTTACAATTGATTTTATCTTGTCAAGTGTTTCTGTTATATGTGTCATATATGCAAAATTCATCCTATATCTTTATCTTAGTTGATGCACGAATGTTATTCCATTGCGGAATAATTGTGCTTTTTCAGTTTATTATCCGACAAAGAATAGAATAATATAATATAATATAATATAAGAATAATATAATAAGAATAGAATAATATAAAGAATAAAATAATAGAATGTGAGACTGATGGCTCTTGATTTGCAACAAAGAGAATCGGTACAGTACTTACCTCATGGAACCAAGCCAATTTATTAAACTTGGGATTCGCCCTGATGTTGCACTCGAAATAAACGTCCGAGCTCTCTTTAATGTTCTTCGGATTTAAGGTGGAACCCATCTTCAAATTGGCAATAGGCGCAACTGCAATCAGAATTAAAAATCGAATAAAAAATATGATAAAGGATATTATATACTACTGTAAACGATTAAGATACTTTACTAATTATAAAATATTTAACAAATTATTTTTATTTAAAAAATCTTATAAACATTGTTATTATTTATCTTATAAATTTATTTCTAATTAGTTGTATTACTACATTATTAAGGCATTAAACAATTTATAATTTATTCAAAATTCAAGACAGAATTCTATTTATAATACTATACGATATATCTTTTAATGTATATATATATATATATGTATGTCCTGATATATATTTTGACTTTACGTTTTTAAATATATTATGCAATGTATGACACATAACATTTATAAATAGAATTTTGTCCTGAATTTTGTTGTAAATTATTATATATTTATATAATAATTACAGATCATTTAAAAAGGCTTTTATATATTTTTTAACTGTGTAATAATCTTTTTTAATACGAGAAAAAATTACAATGAAAAATGTTTCTCATAAAAAAATTATATTTGAAGGTCTCATAAAAAGAATTCGCTTATTTAAGAGAATCGTATAATTTCAAAATTTTCAATTCAATTTTTAAATCGAATAACAGCAGGACAAATTATTTCAGGTGTAATGTTTAGCAATATAATTATGTCAGAGTTTTTAATGTATCTCGTGTAGTATTCGAACGAGATCGCGAAAAAAAGCTGAACGCAGCGAGAGTATCCGGGCGTGACATCGTCAATAATTTATAAACGTTGCTTTGACGCAAAGTTATTTATGAACCAATAGATACCGATGCATGGCGCAATAATATTGTGGATATTAACGGATTCTGAGTTTAATGAAATCTGCATTTTCGGCAGTGGAGTCAAAGCAAAAACGCTTTCCAAAACGTTAGCCATGGAATTTTATTACGTGTGATTTTCTCGCATAATGAAAATGGCGATTGAACACTATTTCGAGTCTGATGTAATGTTAGTTATGTGTAGAATTAATTCAGGAATGATGATGATGTTCATGATCATGATGATGATGATGATGATGATGATAGTAAAGAGATGATCACAACCTGGAAATTCATGTCATCCATCACACATTTGTTTTTATACAAGTTTTTGACGCCTACGTTTATATAGAATTAAAATATGGATTTCAATAGATTGATTAATAGAACAATCGGGACAAAAATAAAAAGTAAAAATAAATACAGATTATATTAATTTTGCAGTGTATTTGTTTGATAATATTATTAAGTCATTTTTATAAAGAACATGTAAAATTTCCACAATTCTGCATCTAATTAATTACAATTACGTAAATATATCGTAATAAATTAACAATGTGAATTATTCGACGCTTTCATTTAATGTAAAATATTTTTGATGGCTTTTAAATTTATTGCAATTAGCTAATGTTATATAAATTTCGAAGCTATTCTCAAAGCTAATTTAATAACGTGACTCGCATGAATTGCTATATTTTCATTTGACAGTATGGAATACGAAATTTTGTGCTATAATGGCTCTTGTAATTGATTATAAACATTTTTATATTTTGAATAAAACAATCAATAATTACATTCGGATAGTACAACATTATGTAACATCATAAATAAAATCTCGATGTTTAATGAGAAGGAATAAAGTAGAAGACTCTCGAAATGAGACTCTCTCATTCTAAAGGCTATTTAAATAATAAATCAAAGCGGATTTATTTGAAGCCCCTTTCTAATGATACAAGCGAAATGCAAACGAACACAGCACTCGGCGAGTATAATTAATAATAACCTTGATCAAAGCATTGAGATTTCTGTCAGTGATATCGTTGATGTATCATAGAGTAGAAAATAATCAGAATGTATACACGGTGATCTTAAAAATATTACTGCATGAAAGTTTTTTCGCGAGGATGTAAAAACATGAATTTCTCTTCAATCGAGCTACGAGCTGTCCATCACTGAGGTGAAGCGTCCGGAAAGTTAATCCAGACACTTCGTATGAGATCGGAATGAGATCGGAATATTTGTAATAATGCGATCGCGTACAATTTCCATTACAGGCGTCGCGCACACGATGCATTGCCGTTGCACAGCGCTGCGAAATAGTAATTGCATGTTAATTCAATCCATTCTCGCAACGCACAGGCAAACGACCAATGAGAATTGCGAGAGAGTCCTCGTCGATAAACAAAATGGCATTGATTTCAGAGCGACGACCGATTCGCGCGAAATCGATTGATGGAGAAAGAGAGAGAGAGAGAGAGAAATATATATATAGAGAGTAGAGAAAGAGAGAAAAAAATAGAAAAGGAGAGAGGAAGAGGAAGAAAGAGAGAAACTGTATGCGTACTCAGCTTTCTCTCGCAATATTTTTCTTCGATTTCCCGCGTGGTATCGATTCGACGAAACGAGGAAAAAATTATTATTCCTTCCGAGTGAACGAGCGACTTTTAATTAACGTGACTTTAATAAAACGCGAGTTACATTGGCGGGAATATTGACGGTCTAGCGCGTATCCACGAAAACACTAAGTTTCCCGTTAGAGAAATCACCGGAAAGGAAGAAAGAAGGAGAGAGGAAGGGAGCGAGAGAGAAAGAGAGAATACGCGAGCAGTTCTTTCATTTCCTTCACCGTCGTCCGAAATAATCGAAGAAAAACATGCCAGGTGATTTTATTGGTTTATATCAACTTCTTGATTGAACAGTAACAAGAAACTGAAGCAAAGTACTGGAAAATTGAACGGTAGAAAATGCGAGGAATCAAAAAATAGAATTAAATGAAAGTTGTGATTTATCATATTTCCTCGCTCCTTGATCACAAATAAGATAGAAAATTATTTATAATCGTAAGAAAACAAACCGACGCAACGTATGACGTAAATTATGTTGGAACAGCTGGAGCATGAAAGTGGAGTAAAAAAATTGTCGGAAGAACACGAGAGAAGAAACGGATGTCGCGCTATGATTGAAAGGCAACCGCGTCTACGGTTTTCCAAATAATTTCCAACGTTCATCCCAATCACGGCGGATTTCATCTTGACTCGTTTGCTTGCCAGAGTCTGAATGCGTCTCGCGTAGTTAGTTTCCACGCCGTCGCGGAAACGGAAGCAGCGAGGAATCCAAGTGAGTACGAGACGAGAGAATCGTCGACGGGGCGGAAAACGCGACTTATGACAAAACTGTCCGATAAATTCGCCGAATATAATGCGCCCGGCGAAATTACGCGACGAAAAAACCTCCATTCCGCTTTACATTAAGCGCTATGAATTTTTCACGTTTGAAAAAAATCAAAAAAATTTGTTAAAAAATTGTTGAAAGTCTTTCATCTGAAACAAGTGCAAAGATGTCAATAAAAGAATATTTATGCCAATAAAAGAATATTTATGCCACATATTTATCTATCTTGCGAGATAAAAACTAATTTCTGAAAAATTTAATTCTTATAGAATTTCTCGATGCGTCCCTCGTTGTTACATTTTCCAGATGCGAGAGTGACATTATATAACACATCATCGAAACACAATTGCGTGACGAGAAAGTTGTGATAAGTTGGGAAACTCAGAGACGAGTTATTACAAATTCGCGCGGTAATCCGTCTACATTTACCGTTTCACCCCGCAAATTCACGGACTTCTATCTTCGCGATTGCGGCACGGAATCCCCAATCGCGTTCGCACGCGTGAGATTATAATGCAGCCGTGCGCGATATTGTGATATTCATATCGCAAGCTGCTGATTACGTCGGCAAACACGATCGTGTACGTCGGTAGCTCGAGAGAACGTAGCTCTCTCGCAACTGTACGGCATAATCTCGAAATAAATCTTACATCAGCGTGATACAGCGTCGCTTCGTAGATCGCATGAATGTACGCGTGTAACACGCGCGTTCGATATAAACGCGCGTGCATGCGGCGACACACAATATGCAACCTGACGATGCAGCCTGAAATTCGCCGAATACATGCAACCGCATCCGCAGCCCTCCCTCGTGGAATGCTTCCTCGCATCTGCACGTTTAAGCCACGTTTAATCCTCTTCCGATAATAGTGATGCGTTATTTATGGAAAAAAATTTGCGCGAATCCTTTTTACTGATTCGTAGGTGCTTCGACAAATTTTTCATCGCGCGAATATAATTGCTGTGAAATTTCGATTGCCCTCCGTTATATATTACGTCATGTAATGGCGTTTTAAAATCTTTTATCGTAAAGACGTACTGCTCCATTTACTTATAATATTATTTATATATATATATATATATATATATATATATATATATATATAAAATTATATATATATATATATATATATATATACAATTAAAAGAATTAATAAAAAAATTAATTATTAAAAATTAATTAATATAAGGAAAAATTGATACCGCTAGTTGGAAATAAAATCATATTTTATATTTGTAAATATAATATTAACTTTAAGATTTTTACTAAATATGTAGGTATTTTTTAAAGAGAATTATTAAAATATATATTCGACAAATATGTACATATATTCGATGTAATGTAATGCAAAGTTCCGGTTGCTCATCACTCCAGCTCTTTCACTAGTCACGCTCTGTTTTTATCGCTTCCTCTCTCTTCCTCTTTCGGAGGTAAGCCTATTAATATTATTTTACGAAATTGATTTTTAAACGGCACTCGCGGTACGTGCGTTGTATTTTTCGTGCAATGTTCGGCCGGGGTGAAATTGGCCGGATGATCGGTTGGCGATTTCCGATCGTGTTCACGATCACGCCTCGATCGAGCCTGGCAAAAACGACGAGCAATTATCGTGCCAGCTCGGGTATTTTCATTTCTGCGGGAGCGCTCAAATCGCGACACTTTTTTTTTTATTCATCCAACACGCGTCGCGTATCCGGGTTCGCGTAAGCCACGAGGCGATCTCTGTATTGACTCATCCCCTGTTCCATATTATTCTAGTACACCTCTGGGATAGTCCCGATAATAGGGCGTCGTTGAAAATATGAAAAACGACATTGCACTCAGTATAGGA